ATAAAAACTAAACAATTTGGGAGTATTTAATTTTTTGAAAACCATTTTGGAAAAAGGTGCATGTGATACTCAAATTTGGTAACAACTTATTAGCTACCCAAATCCATTTTATTTTGATATACAATACTGAAACTTTTTACACTTCCTTGTTCCTTTTTCTATGAAAAATTGCCGAATTCTCCAATTTTTCAAGAAATTTGCTGGCGTAAATATATACAGTATTGCAATTCAATCATTCATTGGATTCAGAAAATGAATGCTTAGGAATCCAACCAACAGGATTTACATGGAAGTCAAAAACACCCATGCCTTGCAATTGAGAAGGCAAAATTGGATTCAGGAGATGGGGGCATTTTTATTCCCGTATTTGATACAAGTTCTCATGCCATTTCTTCTTTTTTTCAACACCAGCATCAAGACACAATAGCACAAAAGCCATCGCTTCCAGTTTCGCCCCCTCGCGAAATAATGGATTTTTCTGCAATCNATGGGGGCATTTTTATTCCCGTATTTGATACAAGTTCTCATGCCATTTCTTCTTTTTTTCAACACCAGCATCAAGACACAATAGCACAAAAGCCATCGCTTCCAGTTTCGCCCCCTCGCGAAATAATGGATTTTTCTGCAATCTTGATGCAAAACATAAACAACAAATAATGCGATCTTTTCTTGCAAAAAGGGTGAAGGTAGAGATTCAGGAACACCAAGTGACTCAGATATATATATTTTTTTTGCGTTCAGACTTTGAGATCAATGAGAAAAACTGAGTTAGCCTTTGCAAGCGTATATCACACGTGGAATGGTATATTTTTTCTTCGTTACAGATTTCGGGAAAATATTTCACATTTCATGGTCAAAAAGTTGCAAAGGACATTGAAATATTTGCAGAAGGATTTCAGTTGTGAGCAGAATAAGCAGTTTCAAACTTTTGGATTTTCTGTGTGCTGAAAAGAAAAACGATGGTTTCAAAGCAGATATTTTTTTTTGTTGCTGAGAATACTGAACTTTCGATTAGTTGATTCAATAGGATTCTTTTGCAAAGCGATAGAAAATATGCGCGATTTCCTTTTCCCTCAAGTTTTTTTTTTCAAGCCAAGAATATTGCAACGGAAACGGATATAAACTTTTTTTGCACACACAAGATTGCTTTTTGCACAACTCCATTTTTTCTCGAGCATACAAAGCGATGAAAATTACACTTCATCAAAGTCTTTTTTCTTTTTTTTTTACGGGTTTTGTGGTAAAGCGAGGCACATCCAACATCGCAACACGTTCAAAGGTTCTCTCAAATTTTTTTTCCGGTTTTTGACACTAAAATTTTTGACACATTTTGCGCGATACACTTTTGTTTTGCACCCAGAAAACTTGGCTCTGGATTTCATTTCTTGTGTTTTCATGGGGACTTGGATGAAATCAGGAAATTTAGAGTGCGCTATTTCTTGGAAGCCATGAAATATTCAAATTTGAAGAAGGATGTTGTGCTGGGATTCTAAAGAAAAAATCTGAAATATCGAGAATTTTCCTAAAAGGAACAGGAATGACACACATTGCCAATTTAACCTGCAACTAAGATGATACAGAATGGAAAAAAAATGTGACATTCATGTTCTCAATTGCTCAAAATTTTAAAATTCTACAACTGATGAGTTTAATTATATTTTACTTCAAGTTTACAGTCGAATGACCACATTTGTATAGCAGAACTACTTTATTTTTAGGAATAATTTTTTCATTCTGCCTTAAAATATTTTTATGGTTCTATTGAATCTCTTGAAGTGAATGAAAAAATATAATTTAGGTATATGCAGTATTAAATCGAAGAAAAAATCTTTTTGCAGCTGGACCTTGTCAAGTTGAACTTCCCAAAATCAAAAAAACCAACCAACTAAAATGTCCACTCAATTCCTGTCCAATTGCCTTAAGTTCAATGAAATATAAATCTTATTTCTAGCTCAGAGCTTTTTGTATCAAACCTTCTTCAGAGTCATATTGGGTCTTTTTTTCAATAGGGTTGGAAAATTTTCAGAAAACAAAGAAAAATATCCAAATGATGTTAGTCAACGAGAAGTGTTGTATAGTCCGTAGAAGAACAACCATTGATTATACCCTGTATGTCCTTATTAATTTTTAAGATTTTTACATAGGGTCATTAATCAGAGGGGTCTTTTTTAGTTTAGGGGATTTATACAAAAAAAACTTTCCCAGGGGAATATTCTTGGAGTCCCTTCAAATTCAACTTAGAGAGGTTCAATTACATCTCAAGAAGATTCATAGATCTCAGCCAGTTAAAAAGGCAGCATTCTTTGCTCACTTTTTTTTTACAGATACAGTTGACAAGTCCTTCAGGCTCACTTTTCCTGATTCTTGCAGAACTTTGGAATCTTCAGACCTGGGTTTTAAGCTTTTTTTTCACAGTTTTTACAAAAAGAAGATCTGTTGGATCCATAATGTATTTGCCAGTCCACACACTGCATAAAGGCTTTATTTTGGTCAAATATGATAATTCGGTATCAAGTCTTCCATAACGAACCTTTTTTTTTACTAAAAACAAAAACCTTTTTTTGAGATGGGAAAATTGAAAAGTAAATAATTTTTTGTTGAACAAGAAAATTTGACCTGGGATTATGATGTAGAGTCGATATTATTGTTTGATAGAGCTTTCAATCAAGACAAACTCTGTGCAGAAAAAAAATGTAAGAAAATTTTAAATCATCAAGAGAGAGAGAGAGAGATTTGATTTGAGCGTCATGCACTAGATTCAACTAAAGAGAGCTTTTGGAGATTGCACCTCAAAATATTGGTCAAAGTTGTTATTTTCGAAAGAAAAAAGGACAGCAATTTATGGTTGGGTGTATTTTTAAAATTTTGTATGTTCTCCAGTGTCTCAAGTCCTTATTTTCTAAACAAAACAAAAATTCGGTTTTAATGTAGTACTGGTACAATATGGTTGCATCATATCCTCCTCCATTAGTAAATTCTGGAAAAAAGAAAAAAAAATTTTTAAGTGTACAACGCGCGTGACTTTTTGATGGGAGCCTCATATATACGCATCAAGGTCTTTTTAAATGATCATGAAGAAGATTTCTGTCTGGGCAAAGCAAACTTGGAAGTCTTGTTATTCAGAGGCGCCGTTTCATCTTCCTCCTGCTCCTGAGTTAAATCCTCTTGCGCCACGATGGCGTCTTCCTCTTTTTCTCCAGCTTTCGCTGATGGCGGCTCAGATTGCCCTGATGACGGTTCTTCTCCTGATGCTGCTGCTTCCCCATCAGCAGAAGCGCGTTGATGATCTTCTATGCGCACCTGGTGGACGCCGACGACATCGTCGCTGACTTGTTCCGCACGAGGAGCGCCATCTATGATAACGTTGCGAATCTGCTGCTGTTCTTCGACGATGGGGTCCAAGGACTGGACGGGACTGGATCCGTTGCAGGGGAGGTGAGTGTTGCCAACTGCACCTGCACCTGCTGCTTCTTCGCCACCAGGCCTGGGGGTACCGTTGTTGGTGGTGGTTGTGGTGCTGGTGGCGGACTTTGAAGGCTTGGACTTTTGCTTGTGGTGGTGTGCGCGGTGCTGGTTGTGGTGCTGCAGGTGCAGCTGGCGCCGTTGGTGCTGGTGATGATGGTGCCTGCCGCCTTCCAGGTCGTCGTCGTCGTGTGCTGGAAGGCCTATAGGTTTTGATGAAAAGCAAACAAAAATAAAACTGGGATTGACAAATGAGAAATGTGAATCGAAAATTAAAATTCATGTTCATCGTCCGTCTTTCAAGTTTGATAATTTTCCCTTGAAAAACTGATGCTTTAGAAATATAACAAATGTTTTTTTAAACGAATGTTTCTTCATACTGAACATTTTTTGTCCTGGCAGTTTCCCATATAGGCGCCATGGTATAAAAATATCATTTCTACAAACTCATTTTAGGCATTACTCTTTTTATAAAAATGTTTGGCACTGATTCTGTGCATAGGCCACACAGATTATTTTATGAATGCTGAAAATGACAAAATTGAAAGGATGTAGCTAAGCAGAACTTTTTTTTTTAGAGAAAATGTAGTGTTCAGAGAAATGCACAATAGTAATTCTTGAGAATTTTTTCAGCTCCNTGCTCTTCACAACATATCAGGCATCTTCTTGTTGGTAACTAATATGGGACATACAGGAATAATTAAAAATTCTAAAAATGTATCCCAGTAATTAGTCTCCCCAGAAAAAATCAAATCCCCTAAATATAAAAAAAACTTTCCCAGGGGAATATTCTTGGAGTCCCTTCAAATTCAACTTAGTGAGGTTCAATTACATCTCAAGAACATTCATAAATCTCAGCCAGTTTAAAAGGCAGCATTTTTTGCTCACTTTTTTTACAGATACAGTTGACAAGTCCTTCAGGCTCACTTTCCCAGATTCTTGCAGAACTTTGGAATCTTCAGACCTGGGTTTTAAGCTTTTTTTTCACAGTTTTACAAAAAGAAGATCTGTTGGATCCATAATGTATTTGCGACTCCACAAACTGCATATAGGCTTTATTTTGGTCAAATATGATAATTCGGTATCAAGTCTTCCATAACGAACCTTTTTTTTACTAAAAACAAAAACCTTTTTTTGAGATGGGAAAATTGAAAAGTAAATAATTTTTTGTTGAACAAGAAAATTTGACCTGGGATTATGATGTAGAGTCGATATTATTGTTTGATAGAGCTTTCAATCAAGACAAACTCTGTGCAGAAAAAAAATGTAAGAAAATTTTAAATCATCAAGAGAGAGAGAGAGATTTGATTTGAGCGTCATGCACTAGATTCAACTAAAGAGAGCTTTTGGAGATTGCACCTCAAAATATTGGTCAAAGTTGTTATTTTCGAAAGAAAAAAGGACAGCAATTTATGGTTGGGTGTATTTTTAAAATTTTGTATGTTCTCCAGTGTCTCAAGTCCTTATTTTCTAAACAAAACAAAAATTCGGTTTTAATGTAGTACTGGTACAATATGGTTGCATCATACCCTCCTCCATTAGTAAATTCTGGAAAAAAGAAAAAAAAATTTTTAAGTGTACAACGCGCGTGACTTTTTGATGGGAGCCTCATATATACGCATCAAGGCCTTTTTAAATGATCATGAAGAAGATTTCTGTCTGGGCAAAGCAAACTTGGAAGTCTTGTTATTCAGAGGCGCCGTTTCATCTTCCTCCTGCTCCTGAGTTAAATCCTCTTGCGCCACGATGGCGTCTTCTTCTTTTTCTCCAGCTTTCGCTGATGGCGGCTCAGATTGTCCTGATGACGGTTCTTCTCCTGATGCTGCTGCTTCCCCATCAGCAGAAGCGCGTTGATGATCTTCTATGCGCACCTGGTGGACGCCGACGACATCGTCGCTGACTTGTTCCGCACGAGGAGCGCCATCTATGATAACGTTGCGAATCTGCTGCTGTTCTTCGACGATGGGGTCCAAGGACTGGACGGGACTGGATCCGTTGCAGGGGAGGTGAGTGTTGCCAACTGCACCTGCACCTGCTGCTTCTTCGCCACCAGGCCTGGGGGTACCGTTGTTGGTGGTGGTTGTGGTGCTGGTGGCGGACTTTGAAGGCTTGGACTTTTGCTTGTGGTGGTGTGCGCGGTGCTGGTTGTGGTGCTGCAGGTGCAGCTGGCGCCGTTGGTGCTGGTGATGATGGTGCCTGCCGCCTTCCAGGTCGTCGTCGTCGTGTGCTGGAAGGCCTATAGGTTTTGATGAAAAGCAAACAAAAATAAAACTGGGATTGACAAATGAGAAATGTGAATCGAAAATTAAAATTCATGTTCATCGTCCGTCTTTCAAGTTTGATAATTTTCCCTTGAAAAACTGATGCTTTAGAAATATAACAAATGTTTTTTTAAACGAATGTTTCTTCATACTGAACATTTTTTGTCCTGGCAGTTTCCCATATAGGCGCCATGGTATAAAAATATCATTTCTACAAACTCATTTTAGGCATTACTCTTTTTATAAAAATGTTTGGCACTGATTCTGTGCATAGGCCACACAGATTATTTTATGAATGCTGAAAATGACAAAATTGAAAGGATGTAGCTAAGCAGAACTTTTTTTTTTAGAGAAAATGTAGTGTTCAGAGAAATGCACAATAGTAATTCTTGAGAATTTTTTCAGCTCCATTTCAGAATGCATGTCTCTTTTTTAATAAAGAAATTTTTGAAACTTTTGACTGATTAGAAGATTTTCTAAAAATTAAACCTGCATATACATTCAACATCTTCCTTTTGGGACCTTTTCAGATGTTTTCAGCATTTAAAACATGGTGATCTTCAAAAATAAGCTTAAGCAGTGATAACAAGCATTTAAAATACATAACACTGGCCAACACCAGGACTTTTTCCTGACTTGAAGTTTTTCCAAGAAATTCCAGTACAGATTTTTAAGGGTGGAAGTTCCAAAAAAGCTTACAACTTCTAAGCATCAGCACAGGGTTTCTCAAGCATACAAACACTTTTTAACGTGAGTTCAGCTTGGTTCATTCCTTCAGCTCATCTTTCCTATAACCCTGGAAAAAAATTTGAAAGAGACCTTGGTTGATTTTGAATAATTTGTATCCTTTATTCCACCTTATATCCCAAGAACCAGTCAGANCTGCTGCTTCCCCATCAGCAGAAGCGCGTTGATGATCTTCTATGCGCACCTGGTGGACGCCGACGACATCGTCGCTGACTTGTTCCGCACGAGGAGCGCCATCTATGATAACGTTGCGAATCTGCTGTTGTTCTTCGACGATGGGGTCCAAGGACTGGACGGGACTGGATCCGTTGCAGGGGAGGTGAGTGTTGCCAACTGCACCTGCACCTGCTGGTTCTTCGCCTCCAGGTCTGGGGGTACCGTTGTTGGCGGTGGTTGTGGTGTTGGTGGCGGACTTTGAAGGCTTGGACTTTTGCTTGTGGTGGTGTGCGCGGTGCTGGTTATTGTGGTGCTGCAGGTGCAGCTGGCGCCGTTGGTGCTGGTGATGGTGGTGCCTGCCGCCTTCCAGGTCGTCGTCGTCGTGTGCTGGAAGGCCTAGGTTTTGAAGAGAGAAGCAAAAAATAAATAAAACTGGGATTGAAAAATGTGACTCGAAAATTAAAATTCATGTTCATCGTCCGTCTTTCAAGTTTGATAATTTTCCTTTAAAAACGTATGCTTTATTAGAATTACAACAAATGATTTTTTAACAAATGTTTCTTCATAATGAACATTTTTTGTCCTCGCAGTTTCCCATATAGGCGCCATGGTATACAAATCTAATTTCAACAAACTCATTTTAGGCATTACTCTTATTATTAAGAATGTTTGGCACTGATTATGTGTATGGGCCACACAGATTATTTTATGAATGCTGAAAATGACAAAATTGAAAGGATGTAGCTAAGCAGAACTTTTTTTTAGAGAAAATGTAGTGTTCAAAGAAATGCACATGATATATAGTAATTCTTGAGAATTTGTTCAGCTCCATTTCAGAATGCATGTCTCTTTTTTAATAAAGAAATTTTTGAAACTTTTGACTGATTAGAAGATTTTCTAAAAATTAAACCTGCATATACATTCAACATCTTCCTTTTGGGACCTTTTCAGATGTTTTCAGCATTTAAAACATGGTGATCTTCAAAAATAAGCTTAAGCAGTGATAACAAGCATTTATTCTAAATAACATTGGTCAACACCAGGAATTTTTTGTGACATTACGTTTTTACAAGGAATTCCAGTACAGATTTGTAAGGGTGGAAGTTCCAAAAAAGCTTGCAATTTCTAAGCATCAGCACAGGGTTTCTCAAGCAAACAAACTCTTTTTAACATGAGTTCTGTTGGCTTCATTTCTTCAGCTCATCTTTCCTATAACCCTGGAAAAAAATTTGAAAGAGACCTTGGTTGATTTTGAATAATTTGTATCCTTTATTCCACCTTATATCCCAAGAACCAGTCAGAGCCATATTTTGAATGGGAAATTTGAGAATGTGCCTGCCTTCCTTGTGGATTTTTCATTGAGAAATCCCAACATGTTCCTTGACCCTTGGGTAGCATCAGGTTGTTTTGCATTATTGTGCAGTGGTCCCAGAATTTTTTTGCGGGTTCCTGCAATTTGCTTTCACCAAAGGTCACCAAAACAAAGCTTTTTCTGAGTAGCCAAAGTTGGGAAAAATTCCACAAAAAGAATGTCATTGTCATGATAATTCCCCAATGCTAATCCTATGGCAGGAATGCAGAAAATATGCCACCCAACAGTAGCTTTCTTTATTTTTTCCTTGCAAATTTTTCTGCAGGAATGCATTAAAAATTCAGGATTTTTAAAAATTTGACTCTTCTTCCTCTTTGCCCCCTCCCCCTTTTTCTACTCTAAGGAGCACACAATTTTGCAGATATATCCCAGCACCACTGCCCAAGCATTAAAATGTTTGTTATGCTGGAAGTGGCAAGTTTGTTATAAAGAGATTTTTATAACACGTACACTGTAGGATTTATGTTGGGACTTTGAAAAAAGTTTGTTACACTGAAAAACTTGTTGTAACAAGATTTTACTGTATTATGCCACTGAAATTAATACAGTAATGAAAATAAGGAATGCAAAGAAACCTGATTTGGAGCGTGCCAGTTTGCGTTGGACAAATGAGTTGAGCTTCTCGTCCTCGTCCTTGGCAATCATTCGGTTGATGAGACCCAGAAGCCCACCAATGAGGAAGAGGAAGCAGCCTGTGCCAAACAGGTCATCCCACTGGTCAGTCCGCACGTGACCCGGGATCAGGCTGGTGATGATGAGGATGGTGCCCAACACTATGAACACTATGCCGATGTGGAACATGGTCACCGACGAGTTGGACACCTTGGTGGACAGGATGCTGGCCCGCCGGTCCGACCCCGCCAATGACGAAGTGCTGTCAAAATTCATTTCATTTCGTTTTTGCCAACTGATTTTTTTTAAAGCAGACCGCGTCAGCAATTACTAGAGCCAGCAGTGGAGCAGAAGTGCTGGTATAGTAGAATATTGTTACAACATACAGTGAGACCCCGAGATGTGGACGTAATTGGTGCATCAAGAGTGTCTCCAAGTTGAAATGTCCCCAAGTCAAGTCTCATTTTCCCTTAGACTTACATTATATAATTTTTCATTGCTACTTTTTGTTGATACATTATGCAGCAGAAAATTTCATGAGGACCAGCAAAAACTTTTGCATAGTACCAGTGCTGGTCTGGAGACCATGGGTGAGGGAACACTGGCCTAGAAGATTTCAGTTNTTTAAACTGATTCAATCAATGTATTTCAACACAATATGAACATTTGGGGAATTGAATACTGATACCTCATCTGTGCAGTGCATATAGAAGTGTTGGCATTTTCTGTAAAAATAAAATTCAAGTGAAAAAGAGAGAAGGAAGTCCCCCTATACTGGAAGTAATTATTTTAAATTAGCTAAATATATGGTAAATTGGGAGAGAAATGCCCAAGAACAATTCTTACATCAATTTTAGGGTTGGAAACACCTGTTTCTTCTAATTTTGCCTGAAATTCATTTGCAATTTTATTGCAAAATGTCCATATGTCAAGTCAATGTCCTCATGTTGGGACATTTTTGTGATTTTTTAATGGTAAAATAAGTGTCCCTAGGTCGAATCATCTGCAGGTTGAGGCGTCCGCATGTGGGGATCTCACTGTATATTGTTACACTAAAACATCTGCACAATGACTTCTTGGGACCAGTAAAATAGCTTTTTTTTAATGAAAAAACATTCTCATGAATAATTAACTCATCAAAGTTTGGCCATATTGTTGTGCAGGAACCTAAAACAATGTTTAGTTGTAAGTAATTGTTTCTTATAACAAGATTTGTTGTAATAATACTTAACTGCTGCTCATTGTAAAAAGATGCTACCCAGCAATTAATGAAAACATGCAGCCAGAATTCATATGATTTCATTTTTGCGCTGCTTTTTGTTAAAGCAGACCATTGACACTTATAATAGCCAGCAGTGGAGCAGAATTCTTGTACAATAGAATTTTTTAAATGTCATTGCAGTAAAATCTTGTTACAATGAAGCCTTTTTGATCAGTGAACTATAGCTTTGGTATAATAACAACAAAAAATGTCATAAAGCAACTCATTCAATTTTATGATACTGCTGGGCACTTGAGTCTAAAAATTGCCCCTCTTGTGAGCAATTATTTATCACAAGATTGGTTGAACAATATTCATTTGCAATAATTTATACGTATACCAGCAAATTTTCATTGCAGGTCCCTGCCCCATATAGCCACAATATCACAGCTTTTGAATATCTTTATACTGAATTGTCTGTGATAGCAAATACTTTCTGTTATCCCAATTGCTTTATTGTACAGTAATACGATTTCACAATATAAATGAAGTTTGAAAAACTATTTAGGAAGGAATGGCAAAAGCTGCAAAATGAGAATTGTTTCATCTTGGTGCTCTTCCTTTTTTATAGACATTTGACGAAAACCAGTTTAGCAGAATGGCTGGTAAAAACTAGTTGGCACCATCTCAAATTTTCTACATTATAAAATAAGTCTTGTATAGAATTTTAATTCCTGCAAGGGGTGGCACAATTTCACATTCAATTTTAAGCTTCTCATTTAGAAAGATTTGGTCCTCACTCCTCAAATTTATCTGCCCATGAAATTTAAAAATCGTTTGTTTTTACTAAGAATTTTAATTCCTGCAAGGGGTGGCACAATTTCACATTCAATTTTAAGCTTCTCATTTAGAAAGATTTGGTCCTCACTCCTCAAATTTATCTGCCCATGAAATTTAAAAATCGTTTGTTTTTACTATCATTTTTGTGAAAGGGAATACTACACTGCAATTTGGTATAAAACACAGTATTTGGTCCATGAGAAGAGTCTCTGGCATATCACAGAGCCCATTTGCTTAATTGTAGAAAAACGTCATCGAGGCTCCCACAAGGGAAATCAACTCGTGTGCTCATATGTCTGCTACATAGCTACCTGACGATCTCAAGATTGTATTCACGGATGAAATGGAAGTCCAATCATTTTTTCATGAATATTGAAGTTCATCTTTTCAACAGACAAAGTAATGCAATCCAAATAATTCCATTAATTTAAGATGTTAAATTTAACTTGAACTATTTGCAAGCTGTTGCTATTTGTATAAATTTCTACTCTTATTTGAATAAAAATTTTCTCTTATTTCGAAATGATTGAACAAGAAAAACAAAATTAGAATACTCCTGCTGATGACTATACAGTACAGCACCATGATGAAATACTGTATGATAAAATAAGTGTCAAGCCATGGCATCATGTCAGAGTTTTCGTCGATCGTGATGCATGGAAAAATGCATGTTTTTCAACAAAAAATATTATTTGAGATGATACATATAAGTATTTTTACCTGTTGACCGCAGACCCTCTGCGCCCAGGTGGCTGGACACGCAGGCTGCGCTGCCGCCGGACGGCAAGAGCAGATTGGACTCCTCGGATCATATTGACTCTGAGTTCCCGAGCCTATTAACACAAATGGCTCCACGCGTTGCGTTGCTGCTCAGCGGCGCCTTCAGGGGTTGAATTATTCAGGAACTCCGCTACCCGTGCCGTGTGCTAGTCTACGGATCTCCGCCTCGTGAATTACGCAACGCATGAACGCAACACACCAGTGTATCACTAATCCGCCCGTCTGGCGCCAGATGCTGGGCAGGCATCATACGAGCGTTCCTCTCTATAATTGTTCACTACCTTATTTGTTTTGCCTGTGACAATGATGAGGAGCAGCACGAAGGATCAGGCTCTGAAATTTCGCGCGGGTATTATTCCGGTCGCCGAATCTCAAATCTCCTTGGAATCGCGTCAGCAGACGAACATCCCGGGATGTGTCGAAGAATGTCAACTTGACATGTCCGGAGGATTCTCGTCCGACCGCATGGTTTCTTCAAGAGTAATTTTAGGAACTCTGCACGTCGCGATTTTTCCTGCTTATGTTCTGCCACGTGCCTCTCCAATTGAGAATTATGGCGTGAAACTTCTCTGAGGCTGTTCCGAAATTTCTCGTGCCTTGCACGACAGAATGAGGTGTTCCATGTGATGGACAGGGCCTGCAGCAAGCCTGGATGTAGCTTTCATCCTGGAGTGCTATAGATTCTTATTTTTTAGGGAACGAAGTATTCTTATGGACGAGCATGCAATATTTCAAAATATTTGGCGTGCCAAAGTCGATGAATCAGTGAATGGAACACCGATCTGTATTTTGAGGCCAAAATTTGTCAAAAGAAGTTGTTGGACTTCAAAAAGGATTAACCTTTTGAATTTGCGTTCGAAGCATCGGTATTCATCGAATTTAGTTGTGCAATACGTAGGATATATACACAAGATACTGTATATCAGATATATGTAGGACCGATGTTGGTTGCTGATGTATGATTTGTTTACTTGGGCAGTATAAACAGAAGTTTATCTTCACAGTTGAATAGCATAGAATATTCGCTCATGAGTTCTATGCTAGATAAAAGTGGTCTGACCGGGATTCGCGTGGACCCGACCTATACGACGTTCTACGATGTCCATAACATCGGATCGAGGGATCCCATGAGTTCTATTGAAGCCCACCAGATCGAGCAATTTGATGGCTTCGTTCGTTCGACTTCGGAATGGACGCAGTCAGTTTCCAAACACGACTTTGCCACGAGAACCGTATCAAAAGGAAAGCGTCCAGAATAATTCAAAGAGAGCTCTTATAAAAAAGTCTTTGAGAAAAAAGAATTCATCACTCGATGGTCGTACTTCGTCCAATTTTTGTTCTTCTCGGGTGTTGAAATTGATGTACAAAGTAAGGAAGTTTATTCCGCATCGGGATTGACTGCGTTTTGCGCAATTAATGCTCTTCTTGGTCTTAAAACTGAAGATTACCTGAATGACGGACGCGTTCCTGTAACTTGATATTTTCTAATTATTCATTTTATGGAGAAAAGTGTTTCCAAATAATATCCGCGAAAATTACTATAGTTGACCCTGTTCATTTGTTACACTTGTAATGCTTGTGCTTTTCACTTTTCGCCATGAACTCATGTCAACTGCGAGAATTCTGAATCCAGAACTCCAGAATTAAGTGACTTTGTCGGTGTTCGAAATTCAAAAATGAATGAAAGTTATGGGATCCCTCTCTCTTTTTTGTGTGCTCAGTTTCCGTGTTTCTCACAGGGTGAAGAAAATAGGCTTTTGTATCCCCCGACAAAGAGGAAAACATTGAAGAAAGCTTATCCACCGCGGAGTTACGTTCCTCCTGGGAAATATAAGAACTAGCCCTTCTCTCCCTCGGATCTCGGCCTCGCCTGACACGAAAGCCCGATACCAGCAACAACAACAAAAAAATGTGAGAAATTCAGAAAAAGAAAACGAAAGCAACTCAGGAAATGCGAAGTAATGGGCAAGAGCAGAATAAGGCTGCTTTTGTCCGTGCTCGAACACGGATGCGGGGACGGAAACAAGGGATATACACGTGGAGGAGGAGACCCGACAACAACAGAAAGCCTAGCGCCCTGTGCGAAACAGCCTGAAGAATCCACTTGTCTTGATTCCTTCACTGACACTATATATACTACCCCGGATTTTGAACCAATGGTAACTTGACACTTTCACGCCTTGAGAAGCGCCGAAATACTTGGAGGATTTGAAATTTTTTATTTTGACCGCACTGCAAGGATTTCTCTTTCTACTGGAACATCACATGCAGTCCAATTTCTGAACTTCTAAACTTATACTGTAATGGGAAGGGTAAGTTGGGTGAACTCTACCCCCTATAGGCTAGGAAAATTTATGATTGGCAAGAAGAAAGTTGTGTGAACATGAATGAAGTAACAATTTTATCAGCAATCAAATTTATTAAGATAGAAGGTACTGAATTGTTACTTTAATGGATGTGTGATTCTGTGGTCCATGTAAGTCCTCCTGGTATCTTATTTACTGTAAAGTTGAACCTCTCCAAGTCAAATTCCAAGGTATCAGCAAAAAAAAATTTGAGTTTGAGATACTGTAATATGAGTTTACTTGAGTTTTTCACACACCTTTTTTTCTCAAATTTGAGAAAGCCTTTTGATCAGGACTCATCAGGTATACATTTTTCAAAAAGCCTTAAATTCAGAAGATGTGCATTATGCTGGCTTCTTATAGGAAATTTTGGAGCAATTTCACATAAGAACTTTTTCTATGGAAACAATTATTTGTTTTCAAATTCAGATCAATTTTTTCTTGCTTTTGAAATACTGTATTGTAGTTTTAGAGTTCTTGAAATTGGGGTGTGAGTCTCACTGAAAGATAAAATTTCATCAGCATTTTCAACTGAAAACCCCTGGTGTGTATCTTACTTTGGGGTGTGTGGAACTCAAGGACTGAAGGTACTGTAGTATAATTTTCGTCTTTAAAATAAGAATTGCAGAAGGTTGCTATTTTTGGCCCAAACCCGCCTGTTAAAGAAGTTGACTATGGATGCTGTCAACTTCATTTCAAAAAGCATCAGCAATTGGTTATTTCTTTGTTGTTTCTCTCTTTCCTGTATCACACATAAAAATAGTCAAGAGGTAAAATTCAAGTCCTATAAATATATAGGTTTAAAGGGAGCAAGAGTTAGGGAGTTTATTGCATTGTTTCCAAGGGAATTCTGACTGGAAATTTGAAAACAACCTCAATATCTGACATGTTCCAAAGCAGCAAATTTGGAGTCACTCAGCAGTTGCATTGGGAAAATGTCCAAGATGAAGCCTGGGGTTGGATTCAACATAGCTGTCCTCCTCTGGTCTGGAAAATCCCGAGAACCCTCTAGAAAATCGTCAGACCAGACGTAAGTGGTCCTTAAGGGACAGAAGAGCTTAGACCTTAAGGGAAGAAGCACCCAAAGAGTACCCAAGACGACCCGAAGCTCCTACGGACAGGAGCTTCTTTGGGCGCGCGTGTGAATGTGCGACCATCAAGGATGTTTAGAATATGATACCAGTCTCGATTCATCGGCGAATCATTAATTTTACTCCTTATATTGATTTAACTACAGCTTGTCGATAATCCTTTTCATGAAACGAGGGCTACTTTTAAATCCCTTTTCGCACCTGGGTTATTGTCACGACAAAAATCTCACAAGACCTGCATTTTCATTTATCCAACCCAGAGTAAGAGCTCCTCAGCTGGAAACAATCCTTCAGAAAGATCAAGGTGGCAAATATACTTTTTTTAATTCGAAACATTTCTTGTATGGGTGTTTATTTTTTCAGTGGGGAATTTTTTATTTTCGCTCAACTACGAATAATAATAATGCATTTTTATTTCATTGAATTTTCTTCACTCTAAAAATCAATTCAACTGCGGAAAAGGGGGAGCTGAAATGTAAGGCCTGTCAAGATTGGGATCCCGGGCCCGGACTGGACCCGGGTTTGATGAGGTCTCAGGCATGTGGGAGGATGAAATTGCTGCTGGGGGGGTTTTTCGCAGACCAGCGGGGAGGAAGTGACCTTTGGCATTTTCCTCTCTTGCTCTGTGCCAGCTGAAGCAGAGTGGAACGAGAACCGCGCTGTGGATGTTTGAGCAGCAGTTTCCTCACTCTCCGGGATCTTCCATATACGGTATGTGTGTGTGTGTGTGGCCACGTGACTGGGGTTATCGCGAACTTCCAAGAATATAGCTTTTTAAAGCATTCACAAATCACTATTCATTGCAATTTTAAAAATGAATTGAAGAAAAATCAAATACAGTGAGTTCTAAAGCTGGAGAGTTTCATCAAGAAGCTCAAACAGTAATTAGGTGATGGAACCTTACAATTCAACCCTAATCCATTGCCAAACTAGGGTCAAATTGAAAACCAGTCAAATTGCAAGACACTTCATCAAATTCGAAATATAAATGCAAAAATGGGGGAAAAATATGAAAAAAGCAGGCCAAATTGTAGGGCAAGGGTCAAAGTGGAAGTCAACCTCCCTGGAAATTCAACCATTGAATTGCAAGATGGTCAAATTGCAAGGTACCACCTGTATACATTGAATTATTCATACTGTAATGGCAACTAATGTATAGTCCTTTTCTAGGTAATCATCCAAATGTTAAAAAATACATTCATTGATGTAACAATGCTCCAAGAAGAATCTTTTTAAAAATATTTAGAAATTCATTTAAATTTGGAAGAATTAGTTGAGTCTATTTAAGTAGTAATTTATACGTTCATTCCCCTCTTTTGTTTTAAACGAGAACACACCGTTTCAGTCCCATAAAAAAAGTTTTAAAACACGGTGGTTCGTGACCTTTAAATTCTTTACCTACTTTTGTACCAAGGCCTAAGTCTGGAGGAAGTCTGATATTTTTTCTAATCCTGCAAAAATTTTTGAATGAAAAATAGAAGAAAACCCTCACTGGGTAACATTTTTTCCTGCATAGAATTTTCTTGGGAGAATCCTGAAAACAATCGGAAATTTTTCTTAAAATGAATGCCTAATTTGGGAAAACCCCTGAGGTTA